TTGGAGTAGTTTACCATTTCCTTCTCTAGCTCATTTTATAGATGAGGAAACTGAGGCAAACAAGGTTAAGTGACTTGCCCAGGGTCACCAAGCAAGTAAAAGAGTCTGAGGCAAGATTTGAACTCACAAAGATGAGCCTTACTGACTGCAGGTCTAGAACGCTATCCAATGCACCACCTAGCTGCCCTTCCTTATGCAAGGTGTAAATGCTCACACTGAAAATTTAACAATCAGCTCTCAGGAACAGATATCAGCTGACTCCAGTATGTTCCTGATTGTATCTCACATCAAGGAAAACATGGATACATTAAGTATTATTATTAGCAATGTTATTGTTACCAAGGAGATGTGGTATACTTGAGGACACGGAATGAAGAGCAAATTAAAAGACCACTTGTTTTTATGTTAGTTTAAATCACAAATTCTGGATCATGCAAGGTAATTTTGAGGGTATTGTGGTAGCTGTGGATGAGGTCTGATGATAGGATCACAGGTTTAGAGGTAAGACAGACCTTAGATATCATCTAATCCAACCCTTCCTTTTTAGATAGAAAAACTGAGGGTCACCCATCTGAAAATAAGCTCTCTGGGAGTAGGGAATGTTTCATTCTTTGTACTTATAACTTCATCTCTAAGCAGAGTGCTTGGCACACAGCAGGCACCTAATCAATACTTGCTTGGTTAGTTGGTTGAGCTATGAGACTTGGCCAAAGCTGCATAGAAAGTAGATAGCAGAGCCAGGGTTCAAATCTCTCCCATTAACAAGGAAACCCAGAGGAGCAGCTACATGGTACAGCGGATAGGGTAGCAGGCTTGGAGTCAGGAAGACCTGAATTCAAATCTGGATGAAGGGAAGCAGTGAGTTCATACTGAATCTGAAGTCGGGTGGTGGTACCACCCAGCTGCTCTTCCTGATGTGTAGTGTTTGCCAATTTCCAAGGTGTAAATGCTCACAGCAGAAATTTTAACAATTAGCTCTGAAGAACAGGTACCAGCTGACTTCAGTATGCCTACGGATACCTTAAGTATTACTATTAACAATGTTATTGTTATCAAGGAGATGTGATATATTTGAGGAGACTGAGTGAAGAGCAAATCAAAAGGCCACTTATTCTTGTGTGAAAGGAGTTAGTTTGAATCACAAATTTTGGGTTATGCAGAGTAGCAGAGCACATCTTTCCTCTGCACCATTCTGCCTCCCAACCTTTCAAAAAAAATTCTTCACAAAGGACCTGAAATATGGACTAATAATTTGTTTCACTTCTTCAAAACATCTCATGAGGAAATCAACCCCAATGTACCTTGGTAAATGAGATGCCAGTAAAAGCAGGTAGGTGAGTCAGGAAGGATTATACTTTGTACCCTGGCATTTAAAGATCCATTCAGATCCATTAGAAAGGAAAGCCTTGTTGTTAAAGGAGCAGCTATGTGGTAGAGTGGATAGAGAACCAGGCTTGGAGACAGCATGATCTAATTCAAATACGGCCCCAGACATAATGATGTGGAAAGTGGGAACTATTTATTCATATCCTGCAAACCTAGACTATACTGGCACCATGTCAGGAAACTGAATCGCTTTCATCTGAATTCTAGGAAGATTCTGAAGATCACCTGGCAAGATAAGGTACCATATACTAAGGTCTTTTCTTAAGCTGAACTGCCAAGCATTCAAACTCTACTGCAAAGAGCACAACTCCAATGGACTGGCCACATTATTCGGATACCAAATGCACATTTGCCTAAAAGAATATTTTATGGAGAATTCACGCAAGAAAGAGCCTCATACGGTAATCAGAAGAAGCATTGCAAGGATACTCCCAAGGTCTCTCTGAAGAACTTCGGAACTGATTGCGTAATATGTGGTATCACTAGGTCAAGAGGAGACGCTGTCAAAGGACCACCCAAGCATAGTTCACTCACATAGAACGAGGTGATGTGCTCTACGAGCAAAGCAGATTCACAGTCACTCAAAAGAAATGGGAGATGCACAAATTCAGAGACATCTCCACCCCAAATGTTCTTATGGACTATTTGTGCCTGACCTGTGGTAAAGTGCTCTGAGCTCATATTGGTCTGACCTGCCACAGTCTCCAACACAGTGATGCCATGTTGGTCCTCTTCAAGAATGGACAGCCACTGATATCCTTTGACTTTTCTATTGGGAAAGGCCTTTTGGTCATGTGTTACGTGTATGTGTATATTTCTTACTTGTTTATATATCTTATATCCAAACCCATATCAGAGAAATTTGACACAATGATTTCCCCCACCCCCATTTTACCTCTTCCCTTCTCAACCTAGGGGTATTGATTTTGTTAGTGCATAAGTTTTTCAGTTCCAGCCCAATGGAAATATGAAATGCAAATTCCAATAACACAACTTCAAGGGATTCATTATTTGTATTAATTAGGACTTACTAGTATTTTATTTTTTGTAATTCTCTCTATCCATAGTTTAAGAATATATCTTCTACCCATGGTTGTCAAATGTCTACGATCAGCTTCTCTTCTAATTATTTTATAGTATAATCTTTAATATTAAGGCAACATGACCATTTAGGTTGTATTACAGAATATGGTGTAAGGTGTTGCTCTAAGCCTAATTTCTGCCAGACTGCTTTCTAGTTTTCCCAGAAATTTTTAGCAAATAGTGAATTCTTTCCTATTTGTTTCCGTTTATTGACCACTGATTTATTGATTCACATTGTTTCTGATTCTCCCTTGTCTAATCTGTTCCACTGATCTACTGTTTTATTTTTTAAACACCAGATGGCTTTGATGACTATTATTTTATGTAGTTTGAGGTCTACAAGTGCTGTTGTTCCTCCTTCATTCCTACCTCTTTTTATTATTTTTTTTGTTGATCTTTCATTTTTCCAAATGAATGTTATTTTTAAAAGTTCCATAAAGTATCCACTCGATAATTTGATTGGTATGTCTTATTCTGTATCTACTACAATCCAGCAATTCTCTATCAAGAGTTTGGAAACATGCTTCATCATCAGTCTTCTTGAGTCATGGTTAGTTGTTGCATTTATCAAGTTCTCAAATCTTTTAAAGCTGTTTTCCCTTTCAATGCTGTAGTCATTTTATAAATTGTTCTGGTTCTGTACCCTTCACTTTTTATCAGTTCAAACAAGTCTTTCCATCCCTTCATTCCTTACAGAAAAATAATATTCCATTACATTCCTATACCATAATTTATTCAGCCTTTCCTCCCAATTGTTGGATACACTTTGTTTCTAGCTCTTTGTTATACCACTATTTTTGTAGATTCAAGTTCTTTCCTCTTGTCTCTAATCCCTTTAGGAGATAATCCTACAGTGATATCACTGGGTCAAGAGGTAAACACAGCTTAATAACTTTTGGAATGTAATTCCAAATTATGTTCTAGAACGATCAGACCAACTCATAGCTTTACCAATAGAACATTAGTGTGCCTATCTATGCCCTCAGAGAAACTCCAATTGTCATTTTCCTTTTTTGTCACTTTTAGCAATCCATGGGTATGAGGGAAAACCAATTTGTTCTAATTTGCATTTATTACTAGCGATTTGGAGCACTTTTTCATGTGGTTGATCATTTCTTTTGAAAACAAGCTGTTCAAATACCTTGACCATATTATCTATTAGGGAATGACTTGTCTTTATATACTTGTATCAGTTTCCAATCTTGGGTATTGTTAGCTGGGAAATTTGCTGCCAAGATCCCAATTCACTGTTTTACCTATATAAGGTAATCCTCTGGTGGTTTGATTGGCAGTCATGGCTGAGATTACCAAGAAGCCTACACTAGTTCCTTTCACCAATGTATACCACTGAACCTGTTGATTAACCTAAGTAGTACAGTCATTTTTATTGACAGCCCAACTGTGAGCTATTAATTTCTCCAATTATTTGTCTTTTTTCTGCAAAGTGTTTTGTAACTGTATTCATATAATTCCCAGGTAGCAGGAATTCTTGATAGGTAGGCTCCCGGATATTTTATAGTTATTTTGGACACAATTTATTTTTATCTTTCTGCTGAGTTTTGTTTGAGTTTTGTTTGTAATGTAAAGGCTAATAATTTTAGTGGATTTATTTTATATCCTAACACTTTACTAGTTATTAATTGCTTTGTAATGCTTTACATGCTTCTCTATATTCATATTTATTGTTTCTTACAACACAGTAACTAGCATTCTATCTGTAAGGGGCAGAATCTGTTCTGCCATTATAATTATGCCAATTATAGGGTGGCATACCCTCTGAGAGAACACTGAGATGCCGAAGAAAGGATGGCCCATACCAACTTAGTTCTTAATAGGTTTTATTAGGGTTGATTGGGGGAGTTTACTCAAAGAGGCCCCGTCCTTGCTGGCAAGAGGACAGAATGGTGGATTTCCACACCCAACCTCAGGCCAAGTCGTATTATATAGAAAAAGAACAAAGAAAGCACAGTGCCAGGGAGGGGCCAGGGTCACATGCAAGTTTTCCCATGGGACAGTTACAGACTCTTTTGCTGTTCACATTTATTCAAGGTAGCTTACGTTCTCTGCGGAGCATCAGGGTTATGTTTCCAGACTCGGGCTACCATCGTACATTACACTCATATCTGTTTAGCCATTTTCCAACTGATGATTATTTGCTTTGATTCCCGTCATTTGCAGTGTATACAGGCATCTTCCCTTTACCCACTGGCTTCCTTGGGTTACACACCTCAAAGGAGAACCTCTGGGTCAAAACATTGTAGTCACTTTCATGGCATAATTCCAAACTGCTTTCCAAAAATGTTTGGACCAGTTTGCACCTCCACAATTTTGTTCCTAACACTTGGCCAGTCTTACCTTTAGAAATCCTTTCGTCCCCAATCTGGGCTCCAGGCACTCGGCTGCCTCCAGCTCGTACAATCTGCTCCTCTCCCACCTCTCTTAAGACTTGCAAACTGGCGTTAGGGGGGAACTTAACACCAGCACTTTACTGAGTTTGGATGTTGAGATGATAGGAAACATTCATACGGCACTGAACAGTTAACAAAAGGTTTATTCAATCCTAGTATAGCAAGAATATGCAACAGGGCAACCACAGCACTTACGTCCCTCAAATCCATACGGTAACTGTCTAGTCAGCATGACAAGATATGGTAACTTGCATAGTCTTCAGAAATCCACCAAGTGGGAAAAGCCCTGACTCCATGTGAGGAGGGCTTATTTACACCCTTAGTGACCAGGGATCTACATCAAGAGAGGCAGAGGCCAAGCTTTTATGCTTTTCTGGGAAAATTAATCTCCATTTTGGCAAATGGGAAATGGAACCCTAGTCCTAGTACAACCAAGGAGATTAACAATAAGAAGAACATAGGCATCAGCACTCCCTCAACATCAAGCTTTCCTTAAACCATGTAACAGGGAAGACATGTGAGCTGTGTATAAAGAGATGAAAGGTTCTCAAAATAAAACACATGGTTTCCTTTCTTACAAATCTTTTATTATATGAATTAACAAAATGTCTTCTTTTGCTCCGTATTCCCAAGAACAAGAAGCATTTTAAGAGGGACAGGGCTACTGGACAAATCCAGTCACAAAAGGATGATGAATAACTGAATTAAGAGATCAGTAAATTGAAATGCGGCAGCTTACAAGGTTAAGCAAGATATAAACCTAGTGAGATCCTGAGACAACTTAGTAACTCTCAGAACTTGGAACACAAGCTAATCTCACAATTTCCTTAATCTAATCCTTCTTGGATTACATTCCTCATAGAAACCAATTATTGAAATTAACTGTGCCTGACTGGAGAACGGGTGAGGTCTCATCAGTGGAGCTCATTGCTATTTTCATTGGTTAATAATGTGATAGAGCAGAGGCAATGGGTGTACAATCATTTCTGTTTCCAGGAAAGTCAGAGGCTCCACAGCATGGCGACAGCTTTGCAGATGCCCACATCATGATAGTTGAAATAGCAGAGTCCTGCAAAGGTCACGGCTGAGAGCATCAAGAGACCTGCATTGGCTCCTTTCACCAACTTGTCTTCATGAACATAGTCAGTAATAACCTGTCCAAGACCCCTGAAGAGAAAAAGAAAATTCTACCATAGTACAAACTAAAAATGACAAGTGATATTAAGAGGGCATTTGAATGTTGGCTTGCTACTCACAAGAACCAGTCAAGTTTCAAATGGAGTATTTCATAACCTTCCTCAGTTCCTACCCCTAGATTAATCTTTTCCATCTCTTCAGTGACTTCAACTTTTGTACATGGTAATTTTTACAATTAGGAGGTAATATTCTTATCCTGTTTTGAGAAGAAGTTTAAAAAACCCAATTCATGGTAACAAGGACTATAACTAAGGAAGAAGGAAGCAAGACGTTCTAAATGAAACTAGACTGATACCTACACTCTCAGGATTACAATCCCCAGGGAGACTTATATTGGAGGAAATGGCCACAAGCCCTGATAACTACCAATCTACTTGGATTAGTTAATATATCAAACAGGAAAAGCCCAAGAGAGACTATGTACAAACCAGACAATCATTAAAATAATTCAGGTCAGTAGAGAGAACCATCAGTCCATGACTGGAGTGCATACCCTTCAGGTGATGTGCTAAAAGAAGACCTATTCTCCACCACCCCACCATCCTGCCCTCTTTGGAGTAAAACATAAATAAGAGTCAGACTTCTACATAGGATCATGGAGGTAGATAGTAATTGGAGCATTTATCAGAAATCTTATTGGTTCCACATTGTTTACTCTCTTCCTGTTGGCTGGCATTTGAAAACACAGCAAACCTAAATGAAATTCAGTAATTTTGTATTTATGACAATTCAGACAGCATTTGATTGGTTATTTATTTAGAAATGGTTGTATTACAAAAAATTGCATAAAGGAGTAAACCAGAATGTAAACGAAAATATTTTAGCAACTACTTAGTCAATCAACATACATTTACTAAGGGTCTATTCTCTGGCAAATATTAGCATTTATCTATATATTTTCCCCTTCTATATTTCCCCTAACATTTTGAAAAGAAAATCAAGAAAAACTGTTTGCCCTGAATAACTGATCATTGAGAAGCTACAAGGTATATCAGATAGATGGCTGTCTCCCAGGCAGTATAATCTGGGTTTAAGTTCTGAAACCTCTTGCAACATTCTGACTATGTAGTAACCTTTGGCAGGCCCCTCAAACCTCTCAGTGACCCAGACTATTTTCTGAGATTCTCAATTACAAAGCAGGTGCAGATCTGCTCAAGCAGGAGTTGCTGCACCCAAGCACTCCCTACACCAGGGAAATCGAAGGTCTAGACACCCCCCAACCAAAAAAAAGCTCCAAACTCCTGCTTCCTCCTATTTTTTTACACTTATTTTGAAATAGCAGTTATGCTGCTAAACAGAGGCTTTTCTAAGTGGAAGAAATTCCTTACCAGAATACACAATTTTAAATTAAAGGACTTATTTAACTTTTCACAGTTCAGTTTCCTCATTTATGTAACAAAAGGGTTGAATAAATTATTAAAATCATAATTATGCTTTTACTGCATTTTAAAATGCCAGTCAATAGTAGGGAAACTAAACCAGCAGGCACCAATAGCGTTTCTAACTATTTCAGTTAATATACTCCACGAGCCACAGGAAATGTGGACTATTCAATCAATACACATTTACTAAGCACCTCTTTTGTGTGCAGAATATTGAAGCAGGCTGGATTCAAAGATGTTTCCTTGCCCTCACTGTTTAGGAAAGGTATATAACACATATAAATGTAGCGATAATACAGGATAAATACCTAAGAGGTACAAACAAAATGTCAGAGGAGATCTCAGGGTTAGGTGAGAACATTGCTAACTAGGGAGGTCGAGAAAGTTTTCATGAAAGAAATGGCATAGGCAGGAACTCAGCAGGCAGAGAAGGGCATACAAAGTATAATGTAAAAAAAGGCAAGAAGGCAGGACATGTACAGAGAGCAGTGAGCTATCAGGTTTGGCTGGGGCACAAACAGGAAAAAGTTGGATGGCACCATACTGTGCATACTGTATTTGTATTCCTGGCTAAGGAATCTAACTTTATTCAGCAACAGAGTCAATGAAGAGTTCCAAGGAGAGGAATGCTGTGACCAAACAAGACTCAGTGTAAAAGAATTCTAAATCTCAGAACCAACAATATGAATTGCATAGTCAGCCATTTACAACTGGTTAATGCAGGGGGAAAAATAATTAAATAATACTCCTCCCATTTCTACTATTCTTTTTTTATTTTTTTTTGGGGGGGGCGCTAGGCAATGGGGTTAAGTGACCTGTCCAAGGTCACACAGCTAGTGAGTGTTATGTGTCTGAGGTTGGATTTGAACTCAGGTCCTCCTGACTCCAGAGCCAGTGCTCTTTCCACCACACCACCTAGCTGCCCCTTCTGCTATCCATTTTTCAACCTTAATCTTCCCACTTCTCAATCCCTTCTTATCCTTCTACCCCAAACTAAAACTATAGAATTGTTGATTCTCCTAGTAAACCTCCAAACCAGAAAAGACAGCAGCAGCATCAACCAGGGAGTAGTTGCGTGTTAGGGAAGAGGAGGGAGGGGACCCTCATTCCCCAGGAATAAAGTGTTCTTGAGCCCCACATCTTAAACCCAAAATGAAAACAAATAAATTCCTATAGCCAAACTCCAGCTTTCAACCACTTGCAAACCATTTTCTCTCAGAATTTCTCTCAAAAACATAGCTTTTTATAGCCTCTCTAATGCTTTAGTAGGCATTTTTCAAGAAGATGAAGAACTGCTAGAGTAGAAATTTTAGATCTATTCTCATTACCTTTGCCATTTATTAGCTTTGTCACTATTTTATAGTAAATGAAGAAATATTTGTTAAGGGTAGAACAAGAGACCAGGACAAAAAAGTTTAAATTCCCCCAAAATGTACTAATTCAAGCACTTCAAAAGCACCCATTTACAAACAAATGTTATGTTCATTGCAATTCATTTTTATCCAATAATTAAAGCAAATCCCAAACCTTTGATAGCTATATTCTAATTAACCTACATATTTCAAAGTAATAAAGTTGCATTTCTTTAAACATTTTATAGCTGACTTCATGTTAATTTAAACAAGTCTTTCCCAATAGTAAAAACCGATAAATATAGCACACTTAAAACACTTCGTGTACATTTTCTCAGTTGGGCCTGACAAAACAGATTATTATTCTGATTTTATAGATAAGGATGCAGAGACTCAGGTCACATGAATCTGCCTTGGTGAAATAGCTATTCCGTGTTTGAGATGAGATTAAAAACAAGTTTTCTTGACTAGATGGCCATCGTTCTCAAAATCCAGGCAGGAAAAGTGAAACTTAAAAGCAGAAGGAAGTGAGGAATGAAGTTTCCAATGACAAAGGAAGGAAGTGGTAGGGCAACCCCTTTTCCACAACTGACAGAGCTTCTGAATTTCTCCCCATTTTGTCATTAAAGAAACAATTCTACCACCCATCTCTTATGGGACAGAGGGGAGAAAAAGGGAAGGACAGCATATGAGCAGGGGAATTGCCCAAGTCTAGCTTTTGTAATTCCATTTTACTGGGATGAATAGCTGAACCATTTCAATGCGTGGGGAATCAGTGCACCCCCAACTGAAACACAGCAGGCTCAGAGTACACCCATAATACAGAAGGAATACTGTGCTTACCAGTGACTGTGGAGGGTAAGGACTGCAGCCAGTGAGTAGTCCACCACAGAACTCGGGTACAGATAGGCAGCTGGGAGCAGGCCCAGCAGCAAGACACTGACGGCTCTCTCACTAGTCCAGTGCAGAGACGCAGCCTTAGAGGTTGCTACAAAAAGGACCAGAACCATGTGACATGAGGGAGGGGGTTTAGGACACATTCTCAACATGAATCTGTTAACACAAGTAGTCAATTTATGAAGCTAACAAAAGGCATAGAAGATTTAACAAAGAACATGAGAAGAACGGGAGCTTAGAAATAAATGACAGAAACTGGAGGTTTTTTCATTTTCTCACAAAAGAAAAGACTCCTGCTTTTTGGGGAGAGAACATCCTATGTATTTGCAAGGTATGAAACGATCACTGGAGAAGAGACCAGTTGTTGCAGACCTTGTAAATGGAGATGAATATTTGGCATGCTCATTTTAAACATCTCTTTTCTATTGATATACTTCTGCAGCCCAGAAAAGAAACCACATGCATTATTCACACTCCCCTCCTCCCCAAAGGTCTTAAACAAAATTTTCTTTCAAAACCAACCAACTCAAAGAGACTAGCAAAGTCTATATACCACTTGCAGACTTTGTGGTCTACTTTATATCCTATGACTTGTAAACAACTTTAAAACAAGCTACAAATACTTTTGGCTTAAGTATTTTTTGAGGGGCACCATAACCATCTCAGTTTAATCAAGACTCAAAATCAGGTCTAAACTTCAATTTGGAGGGGAAAAAAAGCTTAAAAAAAACCCAACAGTTCATATGTTTGTAGAGTACTTCACAATTTACAAAGTGCGGTTCTTAAAAACAAGTAAATATTGTACCTATTTTAGATTAGGAAACTGGATTCAAGGTTAAGTGACCTGCCCACAGTCACTGGAAGGATGTGATATGCTATGAGAAAACTAAAGACTAGAGAAACTAAATGATTTGCTTAGTTATACAGCTTAGTTATACAGTGGTGAGCCAGGACTCAAACTCAAGTCTTTTCATTCAAAGCCAAACACCTTTTCTACTATACTACAACTAGTCTCACTCTACTTCTGTAGTCTCACAGAGGGCTCAAAGCAATCCAGATCTAATAAGACATTGGCCTAAGAGCAAAAAGCCTAAAGGTGGTAGAATGGAGGCAGCTCAAAGTTTGAATTAAAAGCATCTGAATTGAGTCCTGGCTCTGGCATTTACTACCTGTGTGAGCTTGGGCAAGTTAACACTCCACCCCATCTTCAATTTCTCACCGATAAAATACAGTGGTTGGCCTAGATCTACAGTCTCTTTTGGCTCTAAACTTATAACCTGAAATCTGAACTTTAATGCTAGCGCCTTCCTCTCTGTTGATTACCTTTTACTTATTCTGTATATAGTTTGTATATAGTTGCTTGTACATAGTTATCTGCTGTGAGATACCTGAGAGCAGAAATGGTTCTCTGGATATCTCCAGCACTTAGTAGTGCTTGGCACATAGGAGGCACTTAATGTTTGCTGACTTGTTGACTTGAACTTCTGTAAAAACAAGACATTAAATCTTTCCACATGTGGAGATGGTAACATGAAAAAAAACCTCAATTATCAATGTATTGATTATGTAAAATTAAAAAAATGTAATTGCTTATTAGAAACTGCCAAATGATTTCAATAGCAACCTAAATTATGGTACACCATGCACCCAAAATAGTTTTAAATTATCTGCTGTTTTGGATTATTACCGTTTTGACTCCTCTGTATTACCTAATATTAAAGGATGACTCCTCTGCAAAGAATGAGTCTCTGAAAAAGAAAGCCTTAGGCTTCGATATTTAATTTTTCAAAATCAGACGTTTCCCTATGTTGACACTAGGGGAGGCAAAACGGTAACAGGAAGAGTCTGAGAGTTTGAAGACCTGTGGGTCTACCCCAAACTACCTAAGTCATTTTTGAACATGTCACTTCATAGCTTTATGCCTCAGTCTCCTCTCTCATTCATAAATGAAGGGGCCTAACTAGATGATTTGTCCGGGACCGTCGAGGGCCTGTCTCTACGGGGATCGAAGCCTGGCCGACCAGAGGACGAAGTGTAATGAACACAGGGGTCCGGCAGCGGGGCCGGGGGCAGGACGTACAGCTGCGGCGGGCAGACAGGTGGATGTGCCGTCCTCCCGGGGCAGGCCGATCCGGCAGAGATGCTGAAGCGAAGCCGGGTCTGATCACGCGGGCGCCCAGGAGCAGAGCTGGGGAGAAAGGCAGACGGTCACTGCTGGGGGGCAGGCTGCGGCGCGGGGCCCCTGTCCCGTTGGCTCTGGGCCAGTCGCCTCGGTGCCCCAGCCCCAGGAACGGCTCCGGGCCCGGCATGCCCAGGGGGGAGGAGAAGGGGCCGAGCGGCTGCCCTGGGTCCTCACTAGGGTCACTAGCCCAGTGCCACCGAGGGGCGGAAGCCCGTCACCTCGGGGCGTTGGGGCCCCAAAGAGCGCTGGCGTGCTGACCCCTCCGCCCCATGGCGGGAGAGATAACGGTCGGAGCCCCCCCGGCCCGCCCCCTCACCTCGGCCCCGGGCACAGCTCAGAAGGTTCAGGCGCCGCAGCGCCGCAGCCGCCGCCAGCGCCATGTCCGCCCAAAGCTCTCAAGGTCACTCGGTGACCCGGGTGCGGTTAGGACCACCTCCCGCGCCCCGGCTCCGGAAGCCGGTGTGAACCGGAACCTGGGAGAGTAAGAACGAGGGAGTCGGGAAGGAGAACCCGGATGAACCGGAAGCTGGTGTCGGCGTACCCTGCTCGGGGAAGGAAGTGGGACTGCCATCGGAAGGGCGGACATGGCGGAATTGGCCGAGGCCGATGAGGCCGAACTGCAGCGCCTGGTGGCGGCGGAACAGCAGAAGGCGCAGTTCACTGCCCAGGTGCCGAGATTTAGGACTAGGGAATAAAGGAGGGCTCCGGCGGGGGGAGGGGGGAGGTGCAAATGCTGCAGTGTCCGGGCTACCGGCCGACAGACTGCCGCGTCTAAGGGCGGGAGAAAGGGGCCCTCCGGAATGGGGGAGGGAGGAGGTGGGAGTCGTAGCTCACCCCTCTCTCTGTAGGCGTTTTAGAGGTGATCTAATCCAACCCAACCCCAGCTCCGCTGAGATGAGGCCCGAGAGGGGCAGTGTCTTGTCCAGGGTCACACAGGTAATAAGTAGAACTGTCATTTTAAGATTTGGAGTCGAAAGGGACGTCTTTCACAACCCCGTAAAGGTTAGATATTTTAAAAGAGAGGAAAGAGGTCTCTGGTTTCTTGGAGAATCAGTTGAGAAGAGCTCACGGTGCTGCCACCACGGTGTGCTGGCTGCTGGCGGGGGATGGGGGGGGTCCAGGGGGAGAAGAGATATTCCTACCTGCAGCCCACCCCCAAAACCCTGTGGCAAAACTGTTGAGCTGTGTGGTCTGTGGTGCAGACCTTAGGTATTTTTGGAGTTAAGATAATAGTAGAGACACTAGGTAGCCGGTCAATGACTGTAACCAAGAAAGCTTTCATGAGGCTGACACTTAAATTGAGACTCGAATGATTTGGATAGGCGAGCAGAAAGAATGATAATTATCACAAGGATAGCGTAGGTATGGGGCATTAACGTGCCGTTTAATAAATGTTGGAAGTAGTGGACGTGGGCTGGATAGGTACAGGAGAGCCAGGGAATTTGGACTTAGGTTCACAGATTTAGAACTAGAAATGACTAGCTTCTTCTTTTATGGACCTGAACTAAAGCCCAGAAAAGTTGTAACCACCCAAGGTCACATAATAGTAAGTGCCAAAGCTTGGATTCAAAACCAAGTTTCCTTCCCAGATGCTATATATCTACATCATGCTTCCAGTGGGTAATTGCCCTTAGAGATACTTGAACAAAGGGTGAAGAGAGAAACAAGATCTTGGAATAATCTGGCATGAGTGTGAAAAAGACATTGTGAGTAGGGAGATATAAACCTGTATTAGTAATTTAAGCTTAAAGTGACAAGGATCTCAGACTCATACCTGCATTTTCATAGCCACCTATTATAGGCAAGATAAGTGGCTATGTAAACACAGATATGAGTCTGAGATATTTTGAAGAACTGATAGGAAATACAGAAGGCAAAGGAGAGGGAAGTATCAAAGATGACTTAAAGTTCAGTCTGGTAAAGGGGGGGCAAATGATAGGAAAAGGGAAAACCAGAGAGGAAAGAAAAGTACTACCTGCCCCTCTACCCCTCTCTATAATGACTATCTTCCTCCTTAGGTACACCACTTCATGGATTTGTGCTGGGATAAATGTGTTGAAAAACCAGGAAGCCGTCTAGATTCTCGAACTGAAAATTGCCTTACCAGTTGTGTGGACCGATTCATCGATACCACTCTTACCATCACAAGCCGATTTGCTCAGATTGTGCAGAAAGGGAGCCAGTAGGCTAACCCTTATCCCCATCCTAAGTGAGGGAAATGAATGGAAGAACAAAAAGATCTGTAACTGGACAGTTGATATACCGTGGCTAAGGTCTTCGTGAAAGGGTGAAGAAACTATGACCAAATCAACTATGGGCTATGGCCAAACCTATTTAAAAAATAACAAGAGATATTCAAAAAGTGAAATTTCTTTATTTGGAATTTTGGAATTCCAGATTGTATTACATCATTTATTTGATAAATATGACTCCCCCAACCCTGGTCTTTATTACTTTATTAAAAAAAAAAATCCTACCTCAGGGTTTAGAGATCCCTGACTGTTTGAAAATCCTAAAACACTAATCAAAGAAAAAAATGGGTTCCAATGCTGGTAGTGCAAATGGGAGACACTGGATTTAAAAGCCACCCTGAGCCTTTCACTCAGGAACTGGAAGAACTTTAGAAGCCAAATAAGGCTTAGAAAACTAAAGTTTGGAGTTTAGAAGGCAGTTGAGAGCGGACAGTCCTTTTGCTCCCATATGACCACATACAAGTAATTAGAGTAAACATGACCAAAAATAAAAACCTGGCTGCAGCAAAGACACATTGACTAGAAAAGGAGGCAGAGCTGCTAGTATGAGAAAAGGCTCTTGGCTCACATAACAGTACAAACTTCTAGAGACTCCCCTAACCTGTCAAGTGCCTAGAAGAAACTTGGTGCAAAAGACAATGTTGAAAGAAAAATGAAAAACAATCCAGTTAGGATCCTATTTCCTAGAGGACCACAGAAAATACTGTTTGCTTTAAGTTAGGGGATTGTCATTTTAGAATCTCTTCTATCTCTAAAATCTCTACCAAGTAAGAGGCCTTCTCTTCAAAAAAATTCCTGGTAAAAACTGGCATTTAGTGGTAGTTGGCTAAGAGTACATAAACCGGAGCCAGAAGAGTTAGTAAGTCATATAGATGTCCAAAAAAGGGTAGCACCTACTGGTTAACCAGTGGATGGAGGGCCTTTGCCCAAAGATGTATTTGAAGGTTAATTCTGTAGACTGTAGAATCCCTCTGTTGTACAGAGGCCTTGAGAAGTAATTCATAACTACAGAATCTTAGGTATTTATGTGTAAACCTAATTATATTCCATTGTTATAAGGTGTCTCCCATTACTTTGCCCTTTGTTGTCTATGATACTCCCAATGAGGTCAGTGTTATTCCCATTTTAGGGATGGGGAAAATGAGGCATGAGGTTAAATGACTTGTTTAGGACCTCACAAATATAGTCAATAATGGCAGAGCCAGAATTAGGCTGTTTTTAGTTCTCAGACCATCAAGTAACAGCTACATAATTATATGTAACACTGTAAGTCTGAAGTATTTGTTCTCTTCTAAGTGGGGCAAAGTTTAGCTATATCCATTAAATCACAGAATTTTGGGGATGGAAACTATATTCCACATGACCCCTGCTCCTAACCATACCTCCAAGGAAACCTTGGGACCCTATTTGAAATACCCCTAGGTCCCAATTGAACAAAATTAAATAACCCAACTTTCTTTGCTGGGGTGGGGGTATATTTTGAGTCCCATGAAGGCTGGGAAGAGGCAAATATGTCCCTGAGAGACCTGTATTATTTTGGAGCTGACCTGACTCTCTAGTTAGAGGTGGAATCTGGAATTCATTTACAGACTTGGAGACAAAAACAAGGAAAGACAGACTATTTAAATGATATCTGTAACCAGTGTCCTGAATCCAGTTCAGGGCACACAAATGGACAGCATGGTCAGATTCTAATTTGACCCCATATCAACTAGGACCATCTTAAAAAAACAAAAAAAAAATTTCACATACAATTAAACTCAGGCAAAATTTAGCAGTATGCTGGGAGACTTCTACTGCCTGATTCAGACTTAGGCTCAGGGGCTATAAAGAATACATGTTTATGGACCCTACCCAGTGGGGAAAACATACCAAGAAAGCCCCACTCCCTTCTGGTAACAGCTGCCTGTAGTTCTTATTGCAAGGGAAAAAAGGCTTGTTCCTGTGCCCATTTCCTCAAGTACACTGGGCCAGCCAGAATAGGACTAAAAAGTTCAATATTAAATCAAACTGGGGTCTAGATATACATATCTAATGATCAAAGGCACCAAGGCTGAGAATGAAAAGCCAGGTATGACACCTGCTGTAAGAAGGTCAGAGGAAGATGATCTGGAGTGTTTAAATAATAAGGCCCCACAATGATTTCCTTGTTGAGTTCTTTGGGGTCATACCACCTGCACATGGGGATAGTCAACAAAGGAAAGTCATCTCTCCACACTGTCCTCTTGGGCCTAACGCTTGCTTTCCCCAAACTGAGCACTTTAGTGGGAGTTCCCAGATTACTGGCTTCTGTTTCCTCTGATTTGGGGAATAGTGTGCATGAGACAGTGTGGCTAATTGCAAAAAATAATCTCTTCAAGAAACCTTCATTACAAAAACTAACAACAGTTTCCCCATTACCAATAAAAGGGGATCAAGTTTAACAGGCTCAAATAGGAGAAAATCCCATCAGTTAGGATTTGGATGGCACAAGACAGCTCTCACCACTTGGACCACTTATTCTAACAAGAGAGAGTCTCTGCCACACCCGTTGAGTCCAAGGGGTCACCTGGAAAATGGAGGGTGAAGCCTCCCTCGATTTAATCCTCATCGGAGCTCTCATCCGTCTTTTCATCTGTAGCCACCTTCCAGTTCTTCCGCTTGCTGGTCCTCTCTTGTACCTCACTCTTCCTCTTCGTTGGGGTGATGTGACCTTTCTGATCCTTTTTCCTTTTGGTTTTCTTGGCATCTTTTTCCTCGCTTTCCTCAGAACTACTGGATGCTGAATCATCTGGGTGAGAAGAATCACTTTCTGACTCTGAGAAAGAAGCAGGTTTCTTGGGAGCCTTTTTCCTTGATTTTTTCTTTCGCTTATGTGATTGTTTGCCTTTCCTAGCACTGGAAACCTGAGTTTCTCCTGAGCATTCACTGGAGGAATCTGCAGCTCTATCTGTGGCTTCTTTCTTGCTTTTCTTTTGTTTTTTGTGTGATCGTTTTTTTTGCTTTTTTTTGTGGGATTTCTTTGACCTCTTACGTTTATGGGACTCATGAGCAGATGACTTTTCCTGGGGAGGTGTGTTTCTTCCATTAATAGCCTCTTGCTGATCACTATGAACACAGCAAAGAAAGGATAAAGGTCATAGAAAGAGCATTTTATTTATGCTTTTAATAGCCTGTTTGAGACTTGAGAAATAGCACTGGTTAATAGCCTAAGTGAGAGTTGAGCCTAAGGCTTAGCTTTCAATTCCAACTTGCCAAAGGGTTGCTAAGTGACAGTGATATACTTTCCCTTTGAGGCCTTTAGTTTTATCACCTATAAAATAAGGGTAATAATAACTACCCTATTTCACTGACTATTATAAGGAATAAGTCATAATAATTGCAGAGCCATTTGGAAACACCAAAAAGCAGTAGCCAGTAAAACACATTGCCTTCCTCCTCCTGAAGTAGTCACCAGTGTTTCCGGTCACGGGGACAAAGACAAATGATTTCATATATCCTTTATTCAAAAAACAAAACCACATCCGCAACACAATTTATAAGTCAACATAGGCTGACTTGCTTTTCTTTTTTTTCTTAGTAAACCTACAGGCCTTACCTATCTGTGTCAAATTCCTCGGGATATAGTTCTTTATATCCACTGTGACCCCATCTGTAAAATAATAGAGTGAAATCTGTTAGAGAAATGCACTAGATGTTCAGAAATGAAATAACAAAAGAACACTGAGATTAAAAGAAAAAATAAAGTTTGATAGTACCGATTCATGGAATCACAGACTACAGAGATGGAAGGAATTTAAGAGAGACAGTCAAACACAAAAATGAAGATATAAGAAGTCTAGAGTTGGGGAAGAAGTTCCTCAAAGTCTTACAGCAAATTAGTGGTAAAGCTGGGACTAAAACTTAGGTCTCCTAATTCCCAATCTAGTGAGCTTTCCACTCTACCATGCCATGCTTATTAGTAAATTAGCTGCATTTTTTTTGAAGCACCAGGAGAAAACATTTACAGATGCTGGGCTCTTTTGTCCCTTTGTCCAGTCCTCAAGCCAAAAGAACATTAAATGACTCTTTGATAGCACCAACTCAGGGACAGAACCTTGGAGTGATTCAGTAAGTTCACAAGACATAAAGGATGCTTTCAAAAATGGAACTCTGTCTCATGAAGTAAAAGTAACATCACCTTAGAAATCAAAACCTCTGCATTTGGGCTCCACATCTTGCATTTAATGGCTGTGTGACCTCTGACAAGTCACAAATCACCTCTATTGCCTGAAATTTCCTCATCTCTCAAATGAAATGAGTGACCTAGATGACCTCTTGTGGATCTACAACAACTACAATGGCACAATGGAACTTTAAGAGCAAAATTATTGAGACAGTACTTTGGTCACAAACCTGTCTGGCATGCTGGCCTCATAATTATATAGCTTTCTGTTCCAGGATCGGGTCCTAAGCAAATCGTCTTCAAATGTCCCTGGAATTTCTTGCTTTGTCCTCCAGTAGACTCGATGGCTTTCTTCATCGAAACCATCACTTCGCATTCGGCTAGGGTAGAAAACAGGCCCACATTTAGATTTAGAAATAATTTATATAGCTCCTTTAGGGGACAGGATACAGGGTTTACAGAACAAGCAGAGAGAAGCCCTCACTGACCTAGTATTTGTTAAGAATTATTTTTGTGAAAGGCATCATCTGTTTTATCTCTCTGGGTTATTATTACTTGTTCTACTCTATTCCAGAGCCCAGGAACAAGAAATTGGGTCACTTCTGGACTACTGCCAGTTTCACCCAACCTTCGCTAACAACCAGTCAGAATACAGACCTCTTTCACTAGTGATCAATATCAATATAGAGTGCTCACATTTAAAAGAGACATAATATATTATGTAACTAGAAATGCCATTTTGAATTGAGTAATTAAATAAAAAAAGGAAAAAGGACAGTACTACTAAATGTGTAACTAGTAGACTGCCAAATTTAAACAGAATCTCTTTTAATAAACAAGCCAAAGCAATTTGTTTTTTATATTTATTAAAGCCTGGTTCTAGTGTGGACTTCCTGTACATAATTTTAGTAAGTGGATAACTTATCTATGGGATTAATCACCATTCCCACACAGCCAAACAATTAAGGATTGGTGGACCCCCTACATTCACACAACTCTATACAATCGTATTCTAAGTGAATAAGGCTGAGACCATGTATGA